AATATTTAGCTATGAAACATAATTTAATATGAAAACAATGGGAGAAAATAAGATATGTTTTGATTTTTTTAGTTCTACATGACATTTTAACTGTCAATGTCATAATACTGTTTGCTTTTACTGCAATAAAATACACATATTTGTATTCAGCAAAGTCTCACGTGTAAAACAGTATCCCCTGTGTACAGGTTTTATGGCGTTTAGGGAAGTTACAGGGTCAAATATAGCACGTTACATTTGACAGTTTGGTTACGTTGCCTTTGGGACTTTATAGTAGCCCAGGAATGAAATTTACACCCATAATGGCATACCATTTGCAATCGTAGACAACCCAAGGTATTGCAAATGGGGTATGTCCAGTCTTTTTTAGTAGCCATTTGGTCACAAACACTGGCCAAAGTTAGCGTTAGTATTTGTTTGTGTGTGAAAAATGAAAAAAACGCCAATTTGGGCCAATGTTTGTGACTAAGTGGCTACTAAAAAAGACTGGCCATACCCCGTTTGCAATATCTTGGGTTGTCTACTATTGCAAATGGTATGCCATCATAGGGTAATTTTCATTCTTGGGCTACCATAGGGTCTCAAAGGCAACGTACCCAATCTGGCAAATTTTAATGTGAAAAAAATGAAACACAAGCCTTATATTTGACGCTGTAACTTTTGAAAACACCATAAAACCTGTACATGAGGGGTACTGTTGTACTCGGGAGACTTCGCTGAACACAAATATTTGTGTTTCAAACAGTAAAAAGTATTGCAGCAATAATATCATCCGTGTAAGTGCTGTTTGTGCGTGAAAAATGCAAAGAACTTCACTTTTACTGGCGATATCATCATTGTAATACATTTTACTGTTTTGAAACACTAATATTTGTGTTCAGCAAAGTCCCCCGAGTAGAACAGTAGCCCCCATGTACAGGTTTTATGGTGTCTTGGAAAGTTATAGGGTTAAATATAGTGCCAGCAAATTAAATTCCCTCTACTTTCGGCATGGGTTGTCAGGCAGGTCCCGCTAATTGACAAATGAAAATTGCAAATAGTCCAAATAAATAGCTGTAGTAAAATAAGAAAAGTCTTATCTAGAGTATGTTCTTTGGAGTTATGGGATCTATCCGTGCTTGATCCGGAGCAATTGTCCTTTATATATTCATCCGTGAGAATCCACTCGTATATGGAAGATAATGGTGGAGAGCCAATAGTGTAAAATGTTAAAACACTAAAAAATGAATAAGAAGGGAAAAATAAAACTCACATTTGAAAGAGCTAAACTTGCTCTAGTATAGAAGGCGTACAGCGATTTGATCCCCGCTTATGGGATATAGGGTGGACTTCCTCCGTCAGTGGTGTATCAGACAAAGGCGGGAGCAGAACAACTGCTCCTTGACGTAGCGCTGGTGGTATGATCCCCACCTAGGATTTAAGGCGGGAGCAGAACAACTGCTCCTTGACGTAGCGCTGGTGATATGATCCCCACCTAGGATTTCTTGGAGTCCGAGATGTTGAGAAAATGCCAGGTAGTAAATAAATTAGAGTGTATAAAAAGGATAAGTGGCACAGATTAAAAAGTAACCAAATATACTTTAATATATATAGAATACACAATTAAAAGTCCATAAACGCGTTTCGCCAAAAATGGCGTTATCAATATGGGGTAAGACCCATATTGATAACGCCATTTTTGGCGAAACGCGTTTATGGACTTTTAATTGTGTATTCTATATATATTAAAGTATATTTGGTTACTTTTTAATCTGTGCCACTTATGGGTAAGACCCATATTGATAACGCCATTTTTGGCGAAACGCGTTTATGGACTTTTAATTGTGTATTTTATATATATTAAAGTATATTTGGTTACTTTTTAATCTGTGCCACTTATCCTTTTTATACACTCTAATTTATTTACTACCTGGCATTTTCTCAACATCTCGGACTCCAAGAAATCCTAGGTGGGGATCATATCACCAGCGCTACGTCAAGGAGCAGTTGTTCTGCTCCCGCCTTAAATCCTAGGTGGGGATCATACCACCAGCGCTACGTCAAGGAGCAGTTGTTCTGCTCCCGCCTTTGTCTGATACACCACTGACGGAGGAAGTCCACCCTATATCCCATAAGCGGGGATCAAATCGCTGTACGCCTTCTATACTAGAGCAAGTTTAGCTCTTTCAAATGTGAGTTTTTATTTTTCCCTTCTTATTCATTTTTTAGTGTTTTAACATTTTACACTATTGGCTCTCCACCATTTTATCTTCCATATACGAGTGGATTCTCACGGATGAATATATAAAGGACAATTGCTCCGGATCAAGCACGGATAGATCCCATAACTCCAAAGAACATACTCTAGATAAGACTTTTCTTATTTTACTACAGCTATTTATTTGGACTATTTGCAATTTTCATTTGTGTATTGGCGCAGCCCTTATCTCTTATTCTCTCTCTTTCTGTGTTATTTTAAGGGTTCTTGAGGGATTCCCTTATAGGGTTGCTGCCCTCATATTAGCTAGCGCTTACTCTTTGTTCTGTTTTAGGTCCCGCTAATTGTAATTAATTAGATACCCAATTATGTAAAAATATTACATAAATATATATGTAGAATTAATATATGTATATATATATACGTATGTGAATATATATGTATATATATATATATAATTTTTTTTAAATATTTTTATTTATATATAGGTATATATAGTGATATATATGTATATATTTATGTATATAGATATATATATTATTTCGTTCTACGTGTATTTTGATATAAATATATATATTAATATCACAATACAGTTAGAACGAAATAACACACATCTATATATTTTTTTATTATTTTTTTATTTTATTTTTTAACGTATTTACATATTTAATTTTTTGATATTATTTATAAATATATATATATATAACAATAATTATATATTTAATCAGTATCAGTCTAAGTTTAATTTGATATTAATATATATATATAATTATATATATATATATATATTAATAGTAAAATACACCTATACAGTGTACGTGTGTGTATGTATATGTGTATATATACTTAGATCATATATATATATATATATATATATATATATATAATACATATATATATGATCTAAGTATATATATTTTTTTTTTACACTTTTAACATTTATTTATTTTATTTTCAGCCAGCAGTGGGACCACCTGTCATTACAGGCAGCCCCCCTGCTGGCAATGCTGCAGCCAGCTATCCCGGCCATGTGATTGTGAGGTCCTCGCAAGGACCTCACTCTCACGTGGCCGGGGGGCACCGGAGGAGGAAGATCTGCCGGGGGGGCCTCCCTGGGAGTCCCCCCAACCGTGATCGCCGGCGTAGGAGCGCCGGTGACCGGGTAAGTAAGGAAAGACCAGAGGGCATACTATTACGCCCGGCGGCGTTTAGAGCCGCCTAAAATAGGGCGTAATAGTACGCCCTAAAATAGGGCGTAATAGTACGCCCTCCGGTCTTAAGGGGTTAATTTACTGAGTGTCAGGAAACACAGAGGGCCGCTGGGTAGGGGTGCCGCTGATTGGCTAGAGGGTCAGCTGGCACTCTAAGCCAATCAGTAGCTCCCCATTCATGAAAACGTGAAACATTTTCATGAATCGGGAACTTGCGATTGGCTTAGAGCGTCAGCTGATCACTCTAGCCAATCAGCGGCACCCATGCCTGACGTCAATCTGCACTTCCTGACACTCCGTTTAAGAAGCCGAATACCACTGAGCAACCTGGAGATCTGGAGCTGGAGGAAGCCTTTGGGGGTAAAACCATTTGAGAGTGGTTTCACACCTTAAAGGAAAGAGCGTGCCCAGGGGCCTCCTTGCATCATAGCATTTTCATTTAGTTGAAGTTGTTATGATGACCACAATGTTCCTTTAATTTGATTAAAGGAACACTATAGTGTCAGGAATACAAACATATATTCCTGACACCATAGTTGTAAAAATGCTATTCACCCTGGCTTTATGTGAAAATTACTATGCTCCTTCCCTTTCATGACACTGTCAAAAAGGGGCCAAGCATGGATGTCATTACAATTATGCCCCCTCTGGAAAAATTCCTGCGGACGCCCATGCCTGCAACTTCCCTTGGATGTAGCAAATGCCATTAACAATTATTTTGTCGGATGCGCCACCACCCTCAAACTACAAATGTGGATCAGACTCCACTAAATTTGCAAGGACACAATATAGAGAAGTTCCATTTTAGACCTGTACCTATTAGTGTCATTAAGAAACACCTTAATAATCTAAAAATGAAAAAACAGTCTGGACCTGATCATATCCCAGCAATTCTGTTAAAGCTCAGTTTGCCGACAATTGCTAAACCTGTCACAACCCTAATTAACGAATCCTTGGTGTCTGGATACATACACAAACTTTGGAAGACTGCAAAAGTGCCTATCCATAAAAGTGGTGACACTACTTTGGTTTCTAACTATCGCCCAATATCATTGCTCCCAGTATTGTCAAAAATCTTAGAAAAATGCATCCATACGAAACTATGTGAATATTACCAACAATCTAATTACCTGACCCCTGATCAATCAGGTTTTTGCCCGAATCACTCCACTACAACTGCCCTATTAACAGTTTGCAATGACATCCAAACTGGCATGGAACAAGGAGACCTAACTGGAGCTATTTTACTTGATTTTGCAAAGACCTTTGACACAGTAAACCACGAAATTCTACTGCACAAACTAAAAAACTCAGGTATTGGTGATCGTCCACTAACCTGGTTTCGATCATATGTATCGGAACGCTCACAATGTGTGGCATGTATTAGAAGACTAATCACATACGTGGTTTAAAAAAAAAGCACATTTATTAAATTATAATCAAAACCTCAGACATGAAACATATTTATTCCATAAATATAAAATACACACTGAACTTTATGAATATTAATACTTATAGGACAGATTATAATGGGCATAAAATAATTATTTCACATGAATAGATACAGCATGACATGAAACATGCGCATGACTCGTGTTTTAAAGTTGGTCGGCAGTTTTTGTGCATTTTTATTACTTAAGTAATTCAAGTAATGCTAAGTTGTTTTTTATTCCAGTACCTTTCAGCATTTGACACCTAGGAGTCCAGTTCGGTGATTCTGCTTTTTTCTTTTTTTGTAACTGATACAGAGGTTTCTATTTTGTTGTTTTGTTATACATACAGAGTAATTCATGCCCGAGAATGTGGACCAAGTCTGTGTACGGCCCGAGAGCATTCTCTGATGCTCTAACAGAGTTGTTGCCAAAGCTTGTGCTTTGTTTCTAATGTATTATTTCAATTACTTTATATTTTGTAAGTCCACTATTAATAACTAACATTTGCATCTGATAAGTGTTAATTAGAACTGCATTAAACTTCCATCCAAACATTCCTGAATGTCCTTAGAAAATCTAGTTTTGGATCCAGGGATAACCCCACTGTTAGTTCTCCGAGGCTCAGGAGGAGCTCAGTAACCATGTTTGGAGCGAAGTATATTATTAATTTATTCTTTGTGACCTGGGAGGAGCTCGGTAATTATGTGTAAATCCAGGCTCAAACCCAACATTTGTTCTTTATGACGCAGGATGAACTCAGTAACCAAGTTTAGGTCTGGGGAAGAACCCAACATTTGTTCTTTGTGAACCAGGAAGAGCTCTGTAACCATGTTTGGATCCAGGAATAAACCCAATGTCTGTTCTTTGTGAATCTGGAAGAGCTCTGTAACCATGTTTGGATCCAGGAATAAACCCAATGTCTGTTCTTTGTGAACCAGGAAGAGCTCTGTAACCATGTTTGGATCCAGGGATAAACCCAATATTTGTTCTTTGTGGCCCAGGGGGAGCTTAGTTTGGATCCAAAGATAAATCAAAATGTTCACCTTCGAGAAACACCTGGAAGACTATCGTACAGTGAGTTGAATCGGTGGATGTATCCATGTTGATGCTCCGTATTATCCAACTATTTAAAAGTTAGAAATGGAAATCAACAACCAATAGAACTACAGAAAATAAACAATTCAACATAGTATTTCATAATAATTGGAGGTCTGTGTTAACCTGTCAACACCTATGACATTTCACATTTCAAAATGACAGATGTTCTGTTTCACGTGTGGAATCCTCGGCTATCACTGTTACCATTTAGCCTTCCCCTTTTCCTACTTGCAATCCACCCACTTACCATTATGTTGATATATTTCCTGCTCACATCTCCCATTGTGTTGTTGTTTTTTTGTTGATTAGTGTTCCTATTCTCAATGTTTTTTATTTGTTTTCTGTTATAGCTTTGCCCTATGGTCATTCTGTTTCTCCAGGAACTAACAGAAGAAAGCCCGGTGCATAACATTGCCCTCCTCGGTGCTAAGTGTCAGTGTATGTTAAGCTCTCTGCTTGCTGCCGTTTGGCTAGGTCTCAGTCCATGTAACCAGGTCTACATACCACCTCAGATGGCAGCCTGGATTAGTGCAAATCTACAATAAGCTCCAATCTCTCACACACATAAATTTCAGTGAATGACAAACATCTGTATTTTAAGGAAAATGACTAACAAACACACACACAGACACATACACATACAAACACACACACACAGTCACCCTCATGTTGGTGCTGCTTGTAATTTGTTTGTTATAAATGCTACTAGATTAATGAACCATAATGTTTCGGGATGTGCTTTAAATAAAGCTAAGCACTATGGGAAACCATCACTCTGGGTTACATTATGTCCACATGAACAATACACGATACAGAACAGTCATTGTCAGGTTTATTCACAAACTGGAAACTATCAGGAAATGACTAGAGAATTTTAAGGCAGAACGGTCAGACGGAAAAATATGACAAATTCTGCTATTTTTTTTCAACTCACTATTTTTTCCTAAAGTTTGCAATTCCCTGTCCGAAGCCCAACAATTCCTGGTCTAGTGCATACACTGTGTGTTAGATTTATATAAATACCACATGAATAAAACAATAAATTACAATCAATTAAAATTAAATAAATTATATCCTAAAATAATCCTATAATAATCCAATAATAATCATAATAATCCAAAAATAATCATATAATAATCCTATTAACCCTATAATAATCCCATAATAATCCTATAATAATGCTAAAATAATAAATAATCCTATAATAATCCAAATAATCCTATAGCAATCATAATAATCACATAATAATACTATAATATTCCTAAAATAATCCTATAATAATCCTATAATATTCCTAAAATAATCCTATAATAATCCTAATAATCCTATAATCATATAATAATCATAATACGCCTATACTAATCCTATAATATTCCTAATAATCCTAATAATCCTACAATAATCCTAATAATCCTATAATAATCATAATAATCCAAAAATAATCATATAATAATCCTATTAACCCTATAATAATCCCATAATAATCCTATAATAATGCTAAAATAATAAATAATCCTATAATAATCCTAATAATCCTATAATATTCCTAAAATAATCCTATAATAATCCAAATAATCCTATAGCAATCATAATAATCACATAATAATACTATAATATTCCTACAATAATCCTGTAATAATCATAATCCTAAAATAATCCTATAATATTCTGATAAATACCTCTATTTCTGGCTCGGCCTCTTCACTAGTCATTTGATGAATTGTTCTCCGTGGTTTTCTGTGAGATAACGAGATATAATAAGTATTATAAGCCCTGTTATTGTAACCAGCTGCATACTCAGGGTTTAAGTTTCACAATGAAGGGATTAGCAGGATTTTATTAGATAAAATGTTTTATTCAAATAAAAGTAGCATTCATCAGCTATAGCCCTGTACTCCCCCTGCAGGTCACATATCTCCCTAGCACTTAATCCAGGATTCGGGAAGGGAATAAACCTCTCGTTGGCAGGATCCTGATTTAAATGATACTCTCAGGAAGAGTCAGTGCACGACTTACCTACAGAAACTCTGCTCTTACACTCTCCCCTCCTCAGAACAAGTACTGACTTAGAGTCAAGAGGCAAGGGCCCTTTAAAGGACTTAAACATTATTCAAGATTTATACGTATTCAAGATTCAGTTACTAAGACAAAAAAATCTTCAAACTGAAAGGTGCAAACAGCTTCATTGACACTACAAGCGGTCATCATAGAGATTGGCTGACAAACGCGCCTAGAGAACAATTCCTTAGAAACTGCACAGAAGATCCGGATTACGTAACTCAGGCTAATATGCTAAAGGAACAATTCTCAGAAAGGGGATATGACAGGGATACATTACAAAAACCAATGGAAGAAGTTAAAGGCCCACTATAGTGCCAGGAAAACATACTTGTTTTCCTGGCACTCTGGTGCCCTGAGGGTGCCCCCACCCTCAGGGTTCCCCTCCCGCCCGGCTCTGGGGAGAGGAAAGGGTTAAAACGTACCTTTTTTTTCCCAGCGCTGGGCAGGGAGCTCTCCTCCTCCTCTCTGCCTCCTCTCCTCCCCATCGGCTGAATGCGCATCCACGGCAGGAGCTGCACGCGCATTCACCCGGTCTCATAGGAAAGCATTTACAATGCTTTCCTATGGACGCTGGCGTCTTCTCACTGTGATTTTCACAGTGAGAATCACTCAAGCGCCTCTAGCGGCTGTCAATAGGACAGCCACTAGACGATTTGGAGGATGGAATAACCCATTTATAAACATAGCTGTTTCTCTGAAACGGCTATGTTTATAAAAAAAGGGTTAATCCTAGAGGGACCTGGCACCCAGACCACTTCATTAAGCTGAAGTGGTCTGGGTGCCTAGAGTGGTCCTTTAAACAAATTCCTGGAAAATATCTCCTTACTTACAAAAAGAAACAACCATTAAATACAAAATAAATTTTCCTTTGTTTGCAATTTTAACATTAATAATAAAAAAGTACGAAAAGTAATTCAAAAATACTGGTACATTTTAAAAGATGACCCCATTTTAAGAAAGTTCTACTTCCAAAACGAAAGTAACATTTAGAGGAGCTATAAACATAAAAAACATCTTAGTGCGAAGCAGTCTGGACTCCAAAAAACCCAACCACTTCCTAAATCAAAACGTAGGATTTAATGGATGTGGTTTATGCCTCCCCTGCAGGGAAACTAAAAGCAGAAGGCACATGTTGGATATAAGGGAACATATAGACAAAGGGAGAACCAACAGGTGTCTTACCATTAGGATTGCAGAACACATCAGAAACATTAAAAAAGGATTGGAGACCCATAGTGTGTCACAATATTTTAAAACCGCACATGATCAAAACCCTGATGGTGTGTTTCTTTGTGCTCTGAAATCAGTTAGAAGAGATTGGAGGGGACAATAACAAATAAACAGGTACGGAAGAAATTAGGTTTACATTCAATTTTAAAACCTTAGTATGATTTTTATTTTCCTATGTTTTTGGTAATTGGTTTATTATGGATGAACAATAAAAGATAGTAAGTGGATGGCGCTTACACAATACAAAGACACACAAGTGGTGGTGGAAAAAGTGTTCCCCAACACCTCAAATACAAAGTATACGATAAAAAATATGTGGACACTAAGTGTACAAAATGCCACAAAAATCCACACACCACTCTCTTAATTCCAAAACAGTGAATACAATACTTATGGATACAGGGATATATACTGGTAGCGTTCCGTGTGCTTGGACCCTATAATCACATAAAACAGTACATAGTGCAAATAATCAATATGATGTATGCAGACGCGTTTCGACTCGATCGAGTCGAAACGCGTCTGCATACATCATATTGATTATTTGCACTTTTTATACAACTTGCTTAGTTGTTTTTATATAATTTTTATTTAATAAATTTATTCATTTCTATACCATCCTTGCTGTCTCTTCTGCCTTGAGGAGTATTGTGAAGACTCTGCACTTAGCCTGCATAGGCACCCTTGGGCATTCAACATAGAGCCTGGCACGGCTCTAAAATTCGTGAGTGGATCCATTATACATTTTTATTATTGTTATTTCCATATACAGTTCACACTATGTACTGTTTTATGTGATTATAGGGTCCAAGCACACGGAACGCTACCAGTATATATCCCTGTATCCATAAGTATTGTATTCACTGTTTTGGAATTAAGAGAGTGGTGTGTGGATTTTTGTGGCATTTTGTACACTTAGTGTCCACATATTTTTTATCGTATACTAATTATTATGGATGAAGCAAAACTATAGGGAAAAAAAACTATAACTTATAGGAAAATCTATACTCTGCCAAGAGTGGAACAAAAGGTACGTTCCACGCGTTGGCAATTGGACCTGCGAGGGGAATAAATAGAAATTACACGTGTGGAACACAAGGATGCCATCCATGAATAATATTGGCGGACTGGATATGATAAAGACACAGGGCGTCAGAAACCTGTACCGATACATCACGCCGGACGTGACACACTGTCGGCAACCTGGTTGGATGTATAGACATGTATGAGAGAGGCCAACAACACCATGCAATGGAACGTATGTAGCGCAGAACACATGTAGCTTTCCAGAAATTGATCGAGGGCCGGTCTATTTTTCACCAAACTGACCAACGGACACATGGCTGGGAGTCCTTCTATATTTCTCAGGAGTATTAAGTCCATTGTGTGGACCAGCTTCCTCGCTATTTTAATTTATATATGTTGTGTGTATAGTACTTTTATTTTGTTGTTGGTTTCGTCCCCTTGGAGACTTTTTTACTTATGGACCTTTATTAAAAGTTATGTTTTAGATTTAGATTTAGATGTTTTTATTTTTATTTTCCATTTCTGGTATTATCTGGTACTGCAGCCTCCGCTTCTTTTTTTTTTTTTTTTTTTAATTTAATCACAGGGGTTATCCCCTATTTAGATTGTTCATTTCTTCTTCTGTTTTATAGCACGGATCAACAATATTGCACTATTTTGGTTTATATATTGTTCCATCTTCTTAAAATCTCCAGCCAGTGTATTTATATCTTTATTTTTAATTAAGTATATGTAAAAAAAAGAGAAATACTTATCCCTTCTAGGCCGCTGGGTCTTGCGTATTGTATGAATTTGCCCCAGCAGCACACAATTTATGCATGTTCAGGTGAGTGCAGCCCTCTGTTTTCATACCTTTAGCAAATAGCAGGATCCTTCAGCCATAAACATGCGCATTGGGTCAGACAGTGTTTGAAAACAAACAGCTAGTCTCTATGGTATTCCTTGACTCACTCCCTACACAGAAACAGGAAAGACGATAGAGACTGACAGTCAGCTATCCAACACTGTCTGACCCAGGATGCATTTATATGGCTGAAGGATCTCGTCATCTAAAAGTAGGTATGAGTTTCTCATTTTTTATACATACGTGATTTAAAAAAAAATCGCTTTCCTTTCAAAACCTGATTAAAGGATTACAGCATTAAAAATACTTTTGAGCTGGTAGTCATTGTTGAGATGTATTCTGTTTCTTTGTGTGTGTCATTGTGTGTGTATGTATATAACTGTGTGTATGTGTGTGTGTGTGTCTTTGTGACTGCGTTCATGTGATTGTGTATATGAATGTGTGTCAATGGATATATATGTGACTAATGTATTTGATTGTGAGTCCATGTACGCACTGTGCATATTGTTGTATGTCTTTGTATGTATATGAACTTATGTCTATATATGTTTGACATTGTGTGTTAGCATGTGTCTTGACACATATGCATCTATGTATGTGTGAATGGCTAGTTCTATATGTGAGAGTAGGAATGCATATGGTGGGGCACAGCTAGCCATAGGACAGCCAGAAACCTAAATATATCACTGATCTATCACTGATCACAGTAAATGGATACAGTATTTGACTGCAATCAAATGGCTAAATATCGGAGATAAAAATAAAGCACTCGCTGGATTTAATACATGGCATTCATTCTTTTTATGTCTTCCTTCCATATAGGACTTCTGTTAGGAAATGTTTGGCAGACTGCATGGGCGAGGTTGGGTTTATCTACCAGCACAGTCCTCATATTATTATCTGGATAATCCTGTTAATTCTTTAATGCTTTATTCTAAGAATGACCTGGGCAGGAATGGTTGGCGTGTAAGTTAATTAAAAAGCAAATGTACTAAATGGGCTACACATTGTAAAAACTCTAAGAATTAGTAACGCACACAACGTAAACCAAAGTAAACAAATAATAGGATCAGATCTTGAATTAAAGTTTTACATTGTTCAGTTCACTGAGCTAAATGTCAACTATATGATGAACTGAACGTTGCAAAAATTATATTAAATAAAAAATATTAAATTAGTGCTGATTATCACTGGATTGCTGTAACATAGATAAAATAAAATAAAATAGACCCCAAAAAATAGTTTAAACAGTTATCATTAGGTTGACTTGTTATTCACCCTTTATTGAACAATAAGAAGAATTTGACTTTGAAAAATACTGACTTTAAATTACTTTTGCAGATACGTCAAACTGTGCTATTTATCCATATATTGAGGCTGGAATATATCTTTTACACCATAACTGTGAGATTGACAGAGTTACTCACTATACGCCGGATTTTATCCAGATAGAATGAAATGAAAATGACTGAATTGCAACCAAAATAGCAATTCTTATATTTACAAAAGTCAAATACTGTGTGTCAGTTACACTGTCTGTAAAATCCATAATACGTAACCAAACTTTTCAAGATAAAAACAAACCCAATTCACAAAAAATCTTAAAAAATTTTTAAGCAAAAAGTAAAATCATCTTCGCCCCAAGAGGACTTTGCGCACAGTCAGGCTTCACAGTGTGAAAAGCCTTTATATATTAGAGTGCTCTAACAGGCAAGTCTCATTTCTATCAATAATATTATATAAATTCTCCCAACCAATGCCATTATTTCACAGCCACCATCCCCATGGAATTGGCCTATTTAGCAAATGACTAGCAATGGTGGCCCGTCATTAGTTTTTATATGTTATAGTTTAGTAGATATGTCTCCAACTGCCACAAGGCAGATGGATGTAGAGAGAGGTTTAAAACATTCCTTATAATAATATGATGGTCATTTTAAACTAATTATTTAATTATTTTATAGCTTCACTGTGTTCCTCAGGGTTGACCCTCTCACCGACAAGGGTTTTTAACTAGTTTCCTACTGACTGCTTCAAGGTAAATAGTTCAGATTTGAAGCATTCGGTTCTGTATTTCAGATATATGGCGGTGTTCGGTACAGCTGAAGTCCAGACTTCATTTAGATTCATTCAAAGCCTGAATTCCAAATTCGGAATATTGTTAAAGGGACACTATAGTCACCTGAACAACTTTAGCTTAATGAAGCAGTTTTGGTGTATAGAACATGCCCCTGCAGCCTCACTGCTCAATCCTCTGCCATTTAGGAATTAAATCCCTTTGTTTTTGAACCCTAGTCACACCTCCCTGCATGTGACTTGCACAGCCTTCCATAAACACTTCCTGTAAAGAGAGCCCTACTTAGGCTTTCTTTATTGCAAGTTCTGTTTAATTAAGATTTTCTTATCCCCTGCTATGTTAATAGCTTGCTAGACCCTGCAAGAGCCTCCTGTATGTGATTAGAGTTCAATTTAGAGATTGAGATGCAATTATTTAAGGTAAATTACATCTTTTTGAAAGTGAAACCATTTTTTTTTTTCATACAGGCTCAGGCAATCATAGCCAGGGGAGGTGTGGCTAGAGCTGCATAAACAGAAACAGAAACAAAGTGATTTAACTCCTAAATGACAGTGAAATTACTGTGAATTGAGCAGTGAAATTGCAGGGGAATGATCTATACACTAAAACTGCTTTATTTAGCTAAAGTAATTTAGGTGACTATAGTGTTCCTTTAAGTACTGTGAGCCAAGTCTGTAGTTTGCCGTATGAATGGCCCCGAATGCAACTGGATGGGTTTGCCCTGTTCGTAATGGGACATTTAGACTTCAGTGAATAACCCTGTCAGTGAATAATTCCTTACCTGCTTCTATGACGTTTCTTGATGTAAATGAAAGAAAATAAAATAATAAATAGAATGGCTGCAATCCCCAGGGCACTCGGCAAATAGATTTTTATTGGGTCTGAATGAGGTTTCTCTTCATCTAAAAAAATGTAAAAATGAATAAAAGTAAATAAAATATATGAAAATCTCGTTATCGTGTCTTTCTTTTAGAAAAATACCCTAAATAATAGCAGTGTAATTTGCTTTTCATCAGATGAGAAGCAATTGATAGCAAAGGAATATTCAATATTTAGCAACTCAAGGAAAATAGGGAAACTGGTTACATTTCAGCAGATATCACATCAACTAATAAAAACGTCTACAAAATGCCACCACTGTCGGAGTGCTGCCTGGAGTCATGGTCCCCACCAATACCTATAGATGGGCTGGCCCTGGTGACCTGTGGTCTGATGGGTATCTTGGTACATTCTATGATCTGTGATCTGATGGGTATCTGGGTACATTCTATGATCTGTGATCTGATGGGTATCTGGTTACATTATGACCTGTGATATGATGGGTATCTGGTTACATTGTGTGACCTGTGATCTGATGGGTATCTGGTTACATTCTGTGACCTGTGATCTGATGGGTATCTGGTTACATTCTGTGACCTGTGATCTGATGGGTATCTGGGTACACTGTGTGACCTGTGATATGATGGGTATCTGAGTTGTGTGACCTGTGACATGATGGGTATCTGGGTACATTGTGTGACCTGTGATCTGATGGGTATCTGGTTACATTCTGTGACCTGTGATCTGATGGGTATCTGGGTACACTGTGTGATCTGTGATCTGATGGGTATCTGGGTACATTGTGTGACCTGTGATCTGATGGGTATCTGGGTACATTGTGTGACCTGTGATCTGATGGGTATCAGGGTACATTCTGTGACCTGTTATCTGATGGGTATCAGGGTATATTGTGTGACCTGTTATCTGATGGGTATCAAAGTATATTGTGTGACCTGTGATCTGATGGGTATCTGTGTACATTCTGTGACTTGTGATCTGATGGGTATCAGGGTACATTGTGTGACCTGTGATCTGATGGGTATCAGGGTACATTCTGTGACCTGTTATCTGATGGGTATCAGGGTACATTCTGTGACCTGTTATCTGATGGGTATCAGGGTATATTGTGTGACCTGTTATCTGATGGGTATCAGGGTATATTGTGTGACCTGTGATCTGATGGGTATCTGTGTACATTCTGTGACCTGTGATCTGATGGGTATCAGGGTACATTGTGTGACCTGTTATCTGATGGGTATCAGGGTACATTGTGTGACCACTGACAACATTGATTCCCTGGGTATAAAATTTCACCTGTTATACGCAGATATACAATCATAAAAAATAAGATAACTCACATCAGTCATTTATATTCTCAGTACCCGGTACATGGAGCTCCATATTGTAATATTAAATCCAGTAAAATGTACCTGATACATGGAGCTTCGTATTGTGATATTAAATCCTGTAAAATGTACCTGATACATGGAGCTCCGTATTGTGATATTAAAACCAGTAAAATGTACCTGATACAATCTGGCTTCCGCCCTATCCACTCTGCTGAGACTGCACTTATCAAAGTTACTAACGACCTAATCGCAGCTAAATCCAAAGGCCACTACTCCACACTAATTCTTCTTGAACTTTCTGCTGCCTTTGCACCGTTGATCATGCTCTCCTTCAATCACTCGATCTCTGTGACTCTGTCCTCTCGTGGTTTTCCTCTTATCTCTCCCAATGCTCATTCAGTGTCTCCTTTTCTAATGATACCTCCTCCCCTCATCCTGTCTCGGTTGGAGTCCCCCAAGGCTCTGTACTTGGTCCCCTTCTATTTTCTCTCTATACTGCCTCTCTTGGCAAACTAATTGCCTCTTTTGGATTCCACTACCACCTGTATGCTGATGACACCCAGATATATCTCTCCTTCCCAGACCTCTCCCCTGCCGTCCTGCAACGTGTCACTGCTTGCCTTTCTTGCCATCTCTGAATGGATGTCCTCCCGCTTTCTGAAACTCAATCTCTCTAAAACTGAGCTCCTTGTATTTCTTCCTCCTAATACTGATCCTCCTCTTTCGCTCTCCCTTCAAGTTTGTGGTACCCACATCAGTCCATCCTTGCAAGCGCGCTGTCTTGGCGTCATACTTGATTCTGGCCTCACCTTTGAGCCTCACATCCAATATGTTGCCAAATCCTGTAGATTCCATCTTAAAAACATAGCCCGCATCCGCCCCTTTTGTTCGCAAGATGCTACCAAGGAGCTTGTCCATGCTCTAGGGATTTCCCATCTGGATTACTGTAACCCTCTCCTGATTGGTCTTCCCAAAAGCCGTACTGCACCGCTACAGTCCATAATGAACACTGCTGCCAGACTGATTTTCCTCTCTAGTCGGTTCTCTCACACCTCACCCCTCTGTCAGGCCTTACATTGGCTTCCTGTATCCTATAGAAAACAATTCAAGGTACTAATTCACACCTATAAAGCACTGAACAACTCTAGCCCCTCTTATATCTCTTCACAGATCCATAGGTAAGACATTTCTCAGTCCCTCCGCTCTGCCCGTGACCACCTCCTGTCCATTGTTTGCACCCGTACGGCCAACTCACACTTGCAGGGCTTCTCACGGGCGGCTCCCTTCCTATGGAATAGCCTGCCTACCATCATCAGACTCTCCCCTAGTTTTGCATCCTTTAAGAAGTGCCTTAAACCCATCTTTTTAGGAGAGCTTATGGCCTCCCAGATTAACCTCTACCTCACATATCTGTCTCTTGCTCTCTCCTAAAGAGCAGTCCACCTTATTTGATTTCTATTTCCTGTCCTAACGTGTCTTATACCCCACCTCCTATAGAATGTAAGCTTGTTTGAGCAGGGTCCTCTCCAACCTATTGTTCCCGTAAGTTTTTTGTAATTGTCCTATTTATCGTTAAATCCCCCTCTCATAACATTGTAAAGAGCTACAGAATCTGTTGGCGCTATATAAATGGCAATAATAATAATAATGAAGCTCCATATTGTGATATTAAATCCAGTAAAATGTAACTGATACATGGAGCTCCGTATTGTGATATTAAATCCAGTAATATGTACCTGATACATAAAGCTCCCATGTCGTGATATTCTTTCCTGTGTTTGCGATTATCGTACAGGTGTAATTCCCGGAGTCAGTGCGATGAGAGTCTGTTATCTGTAGACTGAGCGGCATTCCGCGCCCCAAGAAGGAAATTCTAGAATCTGTGAAATTTGTAAATATTGGAGGAAGTGTCACATTTATGGAATTATTATTTATAAATGAATGATGCAGAATGTGAGTGTGATTTTCTTTTCTCCAAATGATTTGCTTTATATCTTCTGGTTTTATTCCCTGTGTGCACCTCATGGTCACCGGGTCCCCAGCAACATGTGACACAATACGGGCAGAATTCACTGGAAACAAACCTGAAAGACAAAAAGTATTATTATGTTATTGATATAAAACATAATCTATTTGCTAACTTATATTTACATGTTTTACGTTATAAAATCCACAGTTTATTTAAATATATACCTGAATTATTTTCACTTTTCCTACTTAATATAATCAGGTATAAACGGACATATCTACCGCCAAATGCTCTCTCATAATAAACTACTTAATAATTGGAAAGAATTAAACCTTATTCCCTTTTTCCAGAATTTCAATTCACATATTAGAGCGATATGCATCTGCTGACAGTTTCTGTCCTGTGGAAATCTTAGTTTTATTTTGAATTATCCAGAAATGATCTCACATCTTTGGATCTCACGTGGACAATTTAGAGATTAGAACAATCCAAAACATACTGTACTAATATCTGGAGCCTTACATTTATAAATTCCAAAGATAGAAAGAGCAATAAATAAATACATTTAAAAAATAAAGCCAAAGAAACAGAAAAATCGGCTCTTCACAGCAGGGTCTTTCATATTGATTCACTGATTGTTGTAGAAGTTGGAAAAGTCATTTACACTCATATCTTAGGAATAACCAGAGGGCTGGGAGGCTCAAGGCCCAAATGTGGGGTCCTCTAGCCCTGGACCTGTATCCGGTAGAGGGAGAGACCTGAAGTTCTCCGTACTGGACCATCAGGGATCTTTATGATGATTTACACATAACTGGAAATCTGTGACACACTACTATGTTCATAACTGTAAGATTTTGTGCCTGTGTGTGCTTGTCTGTGGCTGTGTGTGCCTGTCTGTGCCTGTGTGTGCTTGTCTGTGGCTGTGTGTGCCTGTATTGGTAAATTCCTCAGTTCCTGCTTTTCAATGAGGAGTTATTCATTCACAAAGGAAGTTCTTTTTTCACAGAGAGGTAAGATACGCAGTTTGTCAAATGACAATATTGTTTTTAAAGTGACTTTTTTCCAACGTCAAAACAAGTAATCCTGACAATGCTTTAGCCTGTTAATATCTTATAAAGGAAACCTACTAGATCAAAACATTGCCAGGTTCACTTGTTGATGTTGAAATAAAAGTTACTTTAATATTGAAGTTGTCATTGTAGCACTTTTCTTCAACCATTGTGACTACTTTTGACAGTGTAGAAGAGGATAAAGGTCTAGCTGACTGGCTCAATTAATATTTTTGTTCAGTATTTACAGATGAAAATGAAGGAAATGGACCTCAGTTAGGAAAAAGGACACGAGTCATTTGTTACATGTGAGTTTACAGAGGAAGAGGTTCTATTTCAACTGTCAAAAGTAAAGAAAAATAAGTCAATGGGACCTGATGGAATACACCCAAAGTCATTAAAATAGCTTAGTGGTGTACTAGCAAAACCATTAACAGATTTATTTAACCAATCATTGTTAACAGGAGTAGTCCCAGAAGATTGCAAGTTAGTGACTGTTGTACCCATTTACAAGAAAGGTAATAGGGAGGAGTTGGGCAACTATAGGCCAGTAAGCCTTACTTCAGTAGTGGGGAAAGTAATGGAAACCATGTTAAAGGATAGGATTGCTGAACATCTAAAAACACATGGATTTCAAGATCAGAGACAACATGGGTTTACTTCAGGGAGATCATGCCAAACTAATCGTATTGATTTTTTTGATTGGGTAACTAAAATTATAGCTCAGGGTGGTGCAGTAGACATTGCTTACCTAGATTTCAGTAAGGCTTTTGACACTGTTGCACATAGAAGGCTTATCAATAAACTGCAATCTTTAAGTTTGGATTCCAATATTGTTGGTAAGGCAGTGGCTGAGTGACAGGCAACAGATGGTTGTAGTCCATGGAGTATATTCAAAGCATGGGCTTGTCACCAGTGGGGTACCTCAGGGATCTGTATTTGGACCCATTCTCTTCAATATTTTTCTTAGTGATATTGCAAAAGGTCTTGATGGTAAGGTATGTCTTTTTGCTGATGATACTAAAATATGTAAAAAGGTTGATATTCCAGGAGGGATAAGCCAAATGGCAAATGATTTAGGTAAACTAGAAAAATGGTCAGAGTTGTGGCAACTGACATTTAATGTGGATAAGTGCAAGATAATGCACATTGGATCTAAAAATCCAAAGGCAGAGTATAGGATATTTGATGGCCTACTAACGTCAACATCTGAGGAAAGGGATTTAGAGGTAATTATTTCAAATGACTTAAAGGTAAGTCATCTGAAATATATTGTAATAGAGCAGCAGGAAATGCTAGCAGAATGCTTGGTTGTATAGGGTATATAGGTATTAGCAGTAGAAAGAGGGAAGTGCTCATGCCATTGTACAGAACACTGGTGAGACCTCACTTGGAGTATTGTACACAGTACTGCAGACCGTATCTTCAGAGGATATTGATACCTTAGAGAGGGTTCAGAGAAGGACTACTAAACTGGTTCATGGATTGCGGGATAAAACTTACCAGGAAAGGTTAAAGGATCTTAACATGTATAGCTTGGAGGAAAGACGAGACAGGGGGGATATGATAGAAACATTTAAATATATGAAGGGAATCAACACAGTAAAGGAGGAGACTATATTTAAAAAAAGAAAAACTACTACAACAACAGGACATTAGAGGGACAAAGGTTTAAAAATAATATCAGGAAGTATTACTTTACTGAGAGGGTAGTGGATGCATGGAATAGCCTTCCAGCTGAAGTGGTAGAGGTTAACACAGTAAAGGAGTTTAAGCATGCATGGGATAGGCATAAGGCTATCCTAACTATAAGATAAGGCCAGGGACTAATGAAAGTATTTAAAAAATTGGGCAGACTATATGTGCCGAATGGCTCTTATCTGCTGCCACATTCTATGTTTCTATGACAAGGAGTGAGGGCTTTGATGTCTCCAAGTACTGCGTGCCTCTACTTACACAGAATATTTTCTGGGGATGCTTAGAGAATCTATGTGCTTGTATCAATAAGCGAGGCAATATGACTGTCCACAAGCTCATGCCAGGGAAACAAACTAAAAAACTGAAAGACAAAAAATGTAGAATATAAATAAATAAAATGAAACTAAAAAAAATAAAAAAAGAAGAAAACACCAATAAAGGCTACATATGTAGAGTTCAAAGATGACATACTTAATGGAGGTTCCATTATGTAAGGGTCCTCATTAATCAAATTTTTTTAATATTTTGCCTCATATGTTGTTAAATTCTCCCCTAAATTGTAAAGTGCCATAAAAAAGACAATAAGAATAATATTCAGATGTTTATATGTATAAATAATATTGAAGGTACCTTTTTAAAGTAAAAACCCATTATCTCTCCGTCCCACGGGTTAGAATACAACGCAAGGACAGCATTAATGAAGGTTTTAGGAATGTTACATTTAAACAGTGTTTATTTAAGTACCCCAATGAACTCTATCAAACGCCTTGTCCGCATCCAAAGAATGGAGCAGAGAAGGCCTCCGAGTTGATTTGATATGTTTATAAATTGCCTAGTGACATCAGGGGCATGTCTTCCCACTACGAATCCCACCTGATCTTTCTATACAATGAAGGGAATTACATTTGACAGTCTTTCCGCCAAAATCTTTCCATACATTTTAACATCATTATTGATCAAAGAAATTGAACGGAAATTTGCGTATGTATCCTGACTCTTTCTGGGTTTCCATAGGGTGACAATCCGTGCACACAAATACTCCTCAGACATCCTTCCCTCAGACCAGAATACATTAAATAATTTAGTTAAATGTTGTAGAAGGTAGACACGTGCAATTTGTTTTGTTCCAAATACAAATTCGGACGAATTTCGGCAATTCAGACATTTGAATGCTTCCAAATTGCCAAAGTGACGAATTTCGGAAGTACCGAACCAAATTGCCGAAGTGCCTAACACTACCCCTAACCCTAACCTAACCCTACCCCTAACCCTACCCGTAACCTAACCTCTAACCCTACCCCTAACCTGTGTAAGTGGTTGTGGTGGCAAGAGAGGGATGCTTACGAATGTCTAAATTGGCGCAGTCCCGAATTTTGGAAGTGCCGAACCCAAGTGCCGAATTCCCAAAGTCCCGAATTTCGAAAGTGCTGAACTGAATTTTTTGCCCATTCAAATGTCTAGTAGAAGGTAATCAGAAAAGGACTTGTAATAAACCATTACAAGAAATTTTCCAGGCACTGGAAAATTTATTGTGCTGCTTTGTCGTTGTGGGATTACTGGTCCTACTCCGGAGCACTGGGTGGCTGCTGGGATTGAGTGTGGCTCCTATCACCATTTTTTTGTAATATTGTAACAAATCGTTGTGAAGCCATTGGGGCCTGGTGCTTTACTACCAGGTATCTTGTTGGTGGCGTCTAAGACTTCTTTTTTGCTAATGGGGGAAGTTAGAGAGTCCAGTTTTTCAGGTGGAGTTTGGGGCAAAGTAACTTTATTGGAATGATAGGTATAATCTTTTCCCCCTCATACAATACCCTCCACATATCATATAATCCATTATCATATAGGAAGTCACTGCATAACTTGGCCAATCTGTCTGTAGAATAACCCTCTGCTAAGATGGATCCCTCTATAAAGATGTCTAAGTATTTTACCCCATAATGTTTTCAAAAAAATTAAGTTGCCCATTGATAAATAAACATTACCAATAGTATATGTCACATTACTAACATTTCCCACCCAAATAATCAATCTGCCTCTTTCTTCAAGCAATACCATATCAGTAACACAGGCAGCATTTCTATTGAAAAAGAGAGACACTCCTCTGGATTTTATTTTAATTATGGAGTGAAATTGTA